CTCCTCACCCCAGCTCACCTCTGCTCCGCCTCCTCCCCGAGCACGCCGCCCCCGCTCTAATTCTCCTCCCCTCCCAGGCTTGCGGCGCCAAACAGCTGATTGGCACCGCAAGCCTGGGAGGCGGGAGAACTGGAGCGGTCGCTGCGCTGGGAGAGGGAGTCTGAGCCGCACGTGTCAGCGCGCCGCCAGCAGCCCAGCCCAGGAATGCTGTAAAAAAAAATTGGGGGCACCGCTTTTTGGCCCCCAAATCTTGGGGGCCCCCAAATCTTGGCGCCCTAGGCAACTGCCTAGTTTGCCTTAATGGTAGCACTGGCCCTGTCTCTAGCTTTTTTCCAGGTTCGTATACAGTGCTTGCAGGCTACTGCTCCAATTTCTTGCTTTTTGCCTCTGTCTCTCTCTTGGTTCTTCTCTGTTCTCAGTTGCTGAATGTTCTGCCTTCCCTCACATAGCTATCTGACTCAAATATTTACAAGACAATGGACAACCCTCAGATATTCACCCCAAATACATCACCAAACTCTTACATTACATCCTCACCCATAATAATTTTACACTTAACAACAAATTCTTTGTCCAAACCATGGTTACTAGGATGGCTCCCCAATATACCACGTCATAGGCCACGTTGAACAAGAATTTCTGGACAAATGCACCACGAAACTAATGATATGCCTGACATACATTGATGATATTTTCATCCTCTGGACACACAATTTAAACTCCCTCACAGATTTCCACGACAACTTCAACAACCACTACCTGTCCATTAAACTCTCTCTGGAACACTCCCCCACTAGCATCAACTTGCTGGACCCCATGATCAGTTTCAACAATGGAACCCTACAGACAGCTATATACAAGAAAGCCATGGATCACCACACTTATCTTCATAGATCCTGTAACCACCCCAAACATACCAAGTAATCTGTTATCTACAGCCAGGCACTCAGATACCTCAGAATATGCTCTGAGGAGAAAGTCCGGGATATACACATTAACACACTCAAAACCACCTTCACCAATACACATTAACACACTCAAAACTACCTTCACCAAAACAAGGACACTCCACCAGAGAAATAGATCGAATCATGGAACTGGCCACCCAAATACCCCAAGAAAATCTGCTTCAATACATAAATAAAATCCCCTCCGACTGCACACTCCTAGTTGTCACCTACCATCCCACACTGGGAACCATACAGAGTATCATCAAACTACAACAACCATACTCGATGGGGACCCTATCCTGAAAGAAATCTTTACTGGACCCTCTCTTCTGGCCTTCTAACAACACCTCCAACCTCTCCAAGCTCATCATCAGAAGCAAACTCCCCACAGACAAGGACACACCAACTCAAAGCAGCACCAGGCCCTGCCAGAACAACAGATGCAAAACCTGCAAACATATATCCACTGCTATAATGACCCCCCACAACACACCTTTCAAGATCCATGGGTCCTACACATACTTATCACAATTTATGGTGTATCTCATCCAGTGCACTAAATGCCCCAATAACAACTGTGTGTGTGAAACCAGACAATCACTACACTCTTGAATGAACTCACAGAGAAAAATGATAAAAGACAAAAATAGCCTATCGCCTGTGGGTGAACACTTTTTACAAAGTGATCACTCTATGTTTGAACTATCAGTCCCCATCCTCAAAGGAAACCTGCACAACACCTTCAAAAGATGAGCCTGGGAGCTTAAATTCATAACTTTACTAGATGCTAAAAATCATGAATTGAATAGAGGCACTGGATTTATGGTATTTGTCTTTGTATTTAGTTGTGATACCCCGAGTACATTTCCCAGACCTGACAAAGAGCTCTTGTGTAAGCTCGAAAGTTTGTCTCTCTCACCAACAGAAGTTGGTCCAATAAAAGATATTACCTCACGCACCTTGTTTCCATTCTCTCCCCCCCCCCCACACACACACACACATACACTAAGCAGTACTCAGTAAAACCCCTACGCTCACAATTAGTCTGCACTTCTGGGCATGTTCCACAGCCACCTTTTGTCTTAGGTGGGGAGCTTCTGATAACTCACCTAACAGTTATGTTAACTGAAGAGTGCATTCACACCCAAACTTAAAGTGTCTTGTTATCAATGCAACCAGTACCTCTCAGGCCATGTTTACACTACCACTTATGTCAGTAAAATGTTATGTTGCTCAGAGGTGTGGAAAACACATCCCTGAGCGACATAAGTTTCACTGGCATAAGTGGTAGTGTGCACAGCGCCGCGTCAGCGAAAGATCTTCTTATTGAGGTGATTTTATTATGTTGACAGGAGAGCTCTCTCCCATCGGCATAGAGCGGCTACACAAGCAATCTTATAGCAGCGCAGCTGCATTGATACAACTGTGCCGCTGTAAGCTTGCTAGTGTAGACATGGCCTCAACAAATCACAGCCCAGTACTAAACCTGTTTAAAGATGTAGGGTGCATCTTCACGCCTGTGCTTGCCCTTCCTGACAAAACTCCATTTCCTATATCTATTAAGTGTGTAATGCAAGAGAAGTTTAAAAGAAAAGAGCAAGTGGCTTACGTCATAGTTGCTCCTGGATCAGCAGTCATCTGATTGGACACAAATACAGCCACATTATATTCTGCAATTAAGAACAATATAAAGACCTAAAGAATTCAAACTAGAATCCATGCATATTATCCCATGAGTGGCACAAGGGAGACAGTTTCTGACTGACGGGTCCAGCACCCATATCACAAACAACAGAACACTTCTGCCTATCTTTCTGATGGCCTGGACTAATTAGGGATGGAATTTTTAAAAGCGATCAGAGCTGGCTTAATTCTTCTTCCATTTGAACTCAGTGGGAGCAGAGTTAGACCAGCACTGAGCTCCTTTGGAAAACCCATCCTAGAAGCCTTTTCTTTTTAAAATGGTCAACTTTTTTAAATTTATTGTATGGAAAGAACCTCTGCCACTCCCTTCACCAGTTGTAGTGAAACATTCAAAAAATGGGGGGAAATGTAACTTCCTACTCAGCCAGTAATAAACCATCACAACATCCCAATATTGCTGGTAGACTGTGACAATGGGAAAGTGACTTTACCCCTTCTGCTTCTGTTTTTCCTTCCACCATTTGTCTTTCTTGTCTATTGTAAATTCTTCAAGGCAAGAACTATCTCTTACTATGCTGAACAATGTTCCAATTCTCTCAACTGGGGCTTCTACATGCTACTGAAATACAAAGAAGAATTCTGAGACGCTTCACAATGTTGAAGAATCTTGGAGGCCAATTGGTCAAACTGAAGACACATGATTTCTAACTAAGTATCATATTTTTGTTAGTAGGTTGTGGTTGTGGTGGTTGTGTAAAGCAAGGAAAGATTCATTGGGTAATGTCTACCATTAAATTCATTGGGGCTACCATGTGATAATGCTGGGCTACCAACAACTGCCTTTTCACAGTAGTTCCAATATATTTTTCACTTTTTGTGCAAGGTCCCCCCTACCTTCTGAGATTTTCTGGAGCCTTGATAGCATCTGAGCAAGTTTCTGTTGCCGTTCAGCCAGCTCCCCACGGCCACTGAAATCTACACGGAAGAGCGCCATTATGGAGTCAATGATCTGCATGGTAAAGATACAAAATAAATAAATGTAGTGAAAGAAAAGGAAGGAGGAAAAGAGAAAATTATCCTGAAAGCATTAAGCTGATGCAGAAGAGTAAAATGACCAAAAGGCTCATACCAATAGCTTGAAGATGCCGGCTTCCTCATGGAATTTGGCTGCTACATAGTCAAGCAACTCCATCTGATGTTCACCTGGTGGGAAGTACAGTTGGAGAATGAAATTAAGACCCAGAAGGAACCAAGACATGAGGTAACACTAAGGCCAGGTTTACACTAGAAACTTTTGCAGATGTAGTAATGTCAGTTAGGGGTGTTGGGCTTTTTTTGGCAACATTTTTATGCCGGCAAAAACCCTAGTGTGGACACAGTTATATCAGCATTATTTCATTCACGGAACCAGTATCAGCTATACTGGCAAAAACATGTTTTGTCAGTGTAAGTGATGTCTGCACTAGGGCCAGGACTACGTACAAACTTTTGCTGGCGTTGCTGTGTCAGCCCTGAGTGTTACTTTGGCCAGTATAGCTTGTTTTGCTCAGGGGACCCAGTATAAGCTATCCCACCAAAAATTCAATTTTGCCAGTAAAAGCTGTGTCCGCACTAGGAGCATCTTGCCATGACAGTATACCAGCATAGCGATACTGTCAAAGCACTCCTAGTGTAGACCTGGCCTAACTCTTAAGGTGGAGGCAAAGGACAGTAAATGAGTGTTCATAAGCTATGCCCTATGTATTCCATGGCTGCAGAATTTTCTATAGAGCCCACCACATGCATGGAACTGCATCATATCAGTTTTCATTCTTGAAACATTAAGTTCTTAGTGTTTATGGTTGAAAAAAATACAAAACAATTTAAAAAACGTAAATCAGTGCAGTTGAGAGGCGTGAATTGCATCATTCATATGAAATTAACTATGAAACCTAAGATGACAATTTAAATGTCAACATTGTTTAGTATTTCACTGCTAATAGTTTTAGTAGCAATTCCAACTAATGTGATTACCCCCCACAATCTACAACTGCCTCTCATGCCTCCGCAGGTTCCAAACGCTCCCTATCCAGCTACCAAAACCTTCAACTTCCCCAAGACAATTTCTACTATGCATCAGGACACGATTTTGCAGAACAGTGCAAATGGAGGGAGAAAGTGAAATAAATTGCTATCAAATTCATTAACACAAGGAATATTATACTAACTGCATTATTCATTTTCATATTTAACTTAATAAAAATTTCCATTTTAAAAATTTACCTGAAGCTGCCACAGAATTTTGAGTCTGTTGCACCACAGTGCTGCAGGATATAGAGGCCTTGCCACGTAGTGCATGGGATCATGCCTATAAGGTTCCATTCACAAAACGACAGACTTTCTCAATGTTGTTTATACTGCCCACTTACATTCAAGCACTCACAATTAGTCTCCACCAATATACAGTTTCCATAGTGCTTCAAAGAAAGCAAATTCAGATACCATGGTGGTACACAAATGTTATAAGATATGGAGTTCACTAAGGCATTTCTACACAGAGGGTTTAAACCAGATTGATTTGGTGCACATTACTTAACACACAATATGCAAGCCACACTAATAGCATGCACACAGGATGGCTGGACCATCTTTCAACTCTCATCATTGCATACACCTGGCGGCAGCTTGCTGCATACTAAGTGCATGGCATTCTCAGAGGGTACTTTGTTGAGCAGCGTGCATTCTGGGATTTTTCTTGCTGTGCACTGTAGGAGGCATGGGGGAAGCCAGGCAGGTTTAAATTTTAAAATAATTCCATAAGCAGGACAAGGAAGAAGAGGATGACATCAAGCAACTGCTACTACAGGAGCTGTTCCTGGAGCAGCTTCACAACATGCAGCATTGTTTCTGGGCTCGGAAAACCAATGTCAATTGGTGGAAAAGGACTGTTTGGCAGACCTGAGATAACCTGCAGTGGCAAGAGAATTTCAGGATGGGGAAGGCAACCTTTTTTGAAGTATGTGCTGAACGAGCCCTGGAGCTGCAAAAGCAGTTTACCAACATGCAGCATCCCATATTCATGGAGAAACAAGCAACAGAGGGTCCTGTGGCACCTTTAAGACTAACAGAAGTATTGGAGCATAAGCTTTCGTGGGTGAATGCCCACTTCATCAGACGCAAGTGGGCATTCACCGAATTTGGCTGCTACATAGTCAAGCAACTCCATCTGATGTTCACCTGGTGGGAAGTACAGTTGGAGAATGAAATTAAGACCCAGAAGGAACCAAGACATGAGGTAACACTAAGGCCAGGTTTACACTAGAAACTTTTG